CAAAAAAGTTTTACGTATTATGGCGCACTTATAATGGGCTATCAAAACAACAACCAAAATCAAACATATTTATGACATTGCAGCTTTTGAATACTTTTAAGCAAAAAAAAAGAATTTCTATTGTTAGATTAACTGGTGTCCACTACTTTGGGTGCCTTGGGGCATGGATAAGTAAGATTGCTTCTCATTGTGTTGAACTGTTACCTGAATTCCTGTTGGCCACAATTGGTCTCCATTATAATATCATTGAAGAAGTAACTGTCTAAATTGCTTTAAACAGCCCCAAAACTTGTAGAACTTTGAGTACAAAGTGTAATTTGATGAGTGATTTTTACATGCATTATTTTAAGAAGAGTTCAAGGTTGTATATCATCACTGCACCAAGGTGCACTTTTTTGTACATACTTACAACATCTTTCAGAAAAAAATGTTGTAAAATAGCTAAATTAAGCTATTCTGAATAGCTTAATAAAGCTATATAGCTATTTAAAGCTAGCCTATATAGCTAATTCAAGAGATTGTAATGGACCTGTTGTTGTCTCCTTATGTTAAAGTGAAAAATTATTGAGAGGGACATTAAACAACATACAATCAATCAATGTATCATTTGAACATTTTTTTTTTAAAAAGTTTTAAAATTCAACGAGATCCTTTAATGGTCTTGTAAAATGCTTAATGATATTGTGAACTGTGTCAATTTCTTAAAATCCTTTATTGTATATAATTGTACAGTATAAGTTTATGCAATCACACTTATTTGTTTCTTTGTAGGCCCAGAACTGCGGATATTAAGAGAAGCTCTGAGGGAGCATGGATGGTAAGTGATAAATGAGTAAGAAATAAACTGTCTGTTTGAAATTCAGCTGCATGATTTTCAGAATTAACATGATTCAGATTTTCCATAAATGGTAACATTGGTGACCTTGATAAGGAACAATTCATATAACATTACATGGAGTTAAAAATACACCTGCTCATTAATTTTAGATTGAAATAGCTTGATTTCTTTTTTCCAGTGCCTTTAACTTGAGAAGAAACATATCTGTGGAGAAATGTGAGAAAAAAGTCAGCGGTGGATATGACCCAAACACAAACCAAGTAAGAAAAAAGGTTGATGTGATCCAAATAATTTAAACTGAAGAAGAAATTTGAAAGTCCTACCGTACATGTTTCTCTTTTCATTCAAATATTATGAACAAGGTTATAGTTTTTGTGACATACAGACAGATTTTCAGATGAATGAGATTGAATGTTCATTCACTTTCATGAAAGTTTGTGTGTGTTTGGGGGGGGGTGTATCATATTGTAGTACAGAAATAAACTTTTGCATCAATATACATCATTATGTGTAGACGTAAAAAAAATTTCAGCAGTTGCCTGTTGATCATTTCTGGTCCACATTTTTAACATATGAAAATGTTTTTTTTATGAATAAAACTTATGTTTTTTTATCTCCAAAACATGCATAATATAAAAGTAAATACAGTGTAGTATATGTTTGATAATATTTATTTATTTTTTGTCATTAATAGATTGTACTTTGTCACACTAACATCCCTCCCTCTGCCACTTGTAAACTGTTGTTCCATGAAATGACACACGCCTTTGATGATTGTCGAGCTAAAGTTGACTTCACCAACATTGAACACCTAGCCTGTACAGAGGTAAGTCCCTACTCACATTCTAAATGACTTAGTATTACTGTCATATTCATTGATCTTGGTCAAATTATACAAGCAAAATATATTTAAACCATATGTCAACTACACAGTCATAAATATAATTTTAATTTTGAATAGACGAAATAATACCAAAGCATTGATAGATAAATAAAAAAGATATATTTCAGAATGAATATGAAATATGAAATGCAGTTCTGTGACTCTTTGATTCTTTTTTGTTGCTGTACAGATTCGTGCTGCAGCTTTTGCAGACTGTGGAATCATAAGTAGCCTCCTGAACAATACAGGTTTTGACATCAGGAACAAACACAAGGTACCATTAGAAGTGTTGTCAAACAGAACTGATACTGTTTTTTGTCTTATTGTGGTTGTAAATGTATTGAAAAGCAAGGGAACTATTTCTAGTTAATAGCTGAAATGCCTTTTAATTTGTTGTCAAAATGCTAATTATAAACTTATCACCTGTTTGACTTCTTCAGATACTTTTGGTTTCCTTATGAACAAGCCAATATTAATTTAACCATATCTTTGAATAATGGGGTTAAGACCTGTTCAAATGTTTTGGTTTGACCATTCCCCTTCCAAGGATTCAAAATTCTTTTTAAAAAAAGGGGGGGGGTATGTTCAGTTTGTTCAAATTATATAACACAACCACTGGATAGGAAGACAATTATGGGGGATTCTACGTTTCACTTAGAATTTTAAGGAAATTGATGAAAAACGTTTATTCATGATAAAAACTACATGTAACCTTTGAGATTTCTAGAATTATTTTATACATTTGACAGGAGTGTGTGAGGAAGCATGCATTACAGTCCATCATGACAACACGGAATATCACAGAAGAGAAGGGGAGACAAGTGAGAGACAGAGTGTTTGACAAATGTTATAATGACGTCACACCATTTCGATTCTCATAAACTCTCTGATGCAGGCTCCTATGACAAATATCTCAGGATGAAAAACCAAGAGGACAATAGATTACCTAAATTTAGATTCTTCTAATAAATTAATTGAAATGGTCAATTCTACTACATGTTTATAACTTTATCTACTTTAAAAATAGCAGAGTTTATGTGATCAAGATTCACACTACCACTATGGGTCCCCCAAAATTTGCTTAAATTCATGAAAAGTTCATTATTATGCAATCCATTTGTCCTAATGTGAATGATTAACAGCAAATTTTGTCTCCCTTTCCCATATTAATAAACTGTCAATGAGTGAAGTGTTTACTCTTCATTAAAGTTAGAAACAAGAAATTCTAATAAATTGTAGCAGTACAAAAGATGAAGAGACAATCATAAGATGCATCCATCATTAAACTTAGCTTTGAAATCAATTACCTGCAACCAATATATTTCCTGGCAAATTATATGGTATACCTTACAGTATTGTTAATATGATAGTACTGGTCAAAACACCTAGAAAGGGCGGATAGACCTCCCTGATTGACTGAAATTTTTTAACAGTTTTTAAATGTATAAATTAATCCAACTAAAACGGCCTTTGATCCCCTCACCTGGAAACCTGGTCCAGTGTTTAAGTGGGTACATATGAAAAGTTAAAGATGTGAAGTTTTAGTAGACTATCACATTATGGGCTAAGCAGCTAACATCCCCCGTTCCCACCCCAGCACCCCTTTGCTTGTCATGAAAGGCGACTAAATGGGGCGGTCCTTCGGATGAGACCGTATAAATCGAGGCCCCGTGTCACAGCAGGTGTGGCACGATAAAGATCCCTCCGTGCTCAAAGGCCGTAAGTGCCGAGCATAGGCCTAAATTTGCAGCCCTTCACCGGCAATGGTGATGTCTCCAAATCAGTGAAATATTCTGGAGAGGGACGTTAAACAGTATACAATCAATCAATCAATCCCCCCTTCCCCCACAACGAAATAGACTTTTCACATTTGAAAAAAGTGTCTAGGTTAGGTTATTTTTTCCTTGTCAGAAAAATTTGAAATTGGATTTTTTGAAGGGATGGATCCCCTGCATTCTCTCAAACTTTATTTTAATAGCATATACATGTTTAAGTTTTAATGAAAAAAATACAATCCAAAATTATAAATTAATGTGAAAGTATTGTGAAATATACATGTATCAGTAAGTCAATTTATCAAATTTTGAACTGATCAATGTAAGGTCTTTCAGAAATGCATCAAGAGTATAGTTAGTATTAATAATTTTATTCTCTCTCCAAGTGAAGACACATACACACGTATACAAAACATACAGTAATCATTATCAAACATATCACAGTTTCCATATAAATTTTGGACACAACATGGAAAAATTACCATTCTAATAAAAAAAATTTAAATTAATTAAATAACATTTTTTTTTGCATATGTAAGAAAAAAATTACATGAATTATGAAAATACATTCTTTATAAATGTTTGTAGTGTGTAATGTCCATTTTTCATTTTCAAAAAAAATATCAGAAACTGCTCCTCCAATTCAATCTTGGCTGAGGTTCATCTGACCAATCACATCTGAGTAGACTGTTCATCTGACCAATCACATCTGAGGAGACTCAGGAGCAACATGTAATTCCGTAATTCAGCCTGTTTTGTTATACTGTAACAGTAACATGGTTCATACCAGACATACATCAATCACAGCTATTTAACATGTACAGTCTGTACAAGCAGACATGTTTAAGAAAGAAATCATGATTCCATTCTTTAAAAAACTTTACATATTCAGGTACATGTATCATCTTTAAAATTTTCTTTTATAGCATTGTGCACTGACTAAATCAATGACAGAAAATTTGCAAACATAGATAACATAGTCGTCATACAGTATTTTTTTCAATACCCATTACACATGTTACATCTGGAAGTTCTTATATTGCATTCTTGGAAATAAAGTAGCACAATCTTAATTTCATCATTTAAAGCCATATGTGGCATATTTTTTTTTAAGTTTAAGGTTTAAAGTTAATTTAACTTAAAAAAAAAACATGAGGATGCATGTATTTTGATTCAATACATGTATCAGCAAAAATTTTCAGTTGAACGTAAATATACAATACATGTAACATATATCATGTATATCTAAACACAATCTCGAATTAATTTTTTTAGGACCGATTTGCCACATATAGCTTTAATTGAATATAAAGGAAAACAATTAAAATTAACAAGATAAATATATTTTTATGTAAGATCACCATTGGCATTGAATAATTATTTTCTATGACTTATATTCAAACTTTACTATTAATCAGTTTGAAAGTAAACTTTTGAAAATAATTCAAAAAATTTTTTAAATTAACATAAATGGATAAAAATAATATGCAAAAAATCACATTAACAAATCATAATATAATGTATCTTACTTCTTGTTTCTCATTTATCACATATCTAAAAGTTGGAAAGCTTAAGTAAGTGTTAATATTTCTACATAGTAAACTTTCATGTAAACTTTAAGAGTGATTATGATTTGTTAACGCATTCTCTTTCTCTCAAGAATCAGTTTTATCAGTGTGTATCAGATATGATGTCATATTTTTTTTTAAAGATGATTTCAATGAAGAAATTAAAAAAAATCACATATTAAAAGAATAACATTCCTTGTACAGAAATGTTGAATTTGAGTTTTCTCATGATTGATCTAATTAAAAATTTCACAATAAAACTTAGCAATATTATTGGCTGTGCTGATCAATACAATTCAAAATAAGTTTTGCTGTGAGTCACTCAAGTAAATGAAAGTACATGTTCTGATCTTTTACACGTCAAGGGTTGTCCTGGTCAATACAGTCCAGTACATGTATCTGTAGAGTGTCCATGTCAGGACAGGTCTGGTTACACTTTGGACATTCAAACTGATGGGGCTCCTCTCCTTCCTGGGAATCACCATGAATCTAAAAATAGATCAAACTAAGGAAATGGGAATCTTCATAGTTAAAAAAAAATCATTAGGATATCAGAAAATAAAGCTAGGTTTCATTAGGTATATGTACACACAATATGTATTAAACTACCTGGTATTTGAGCACCTTTAAATTAAGAAATTAAGAAAATAAATTGCTTTCTGAATGTGAATTTTTTCCAATTAATAACATTCTTCGATTAAGATGTTATTCCTCTTCCTTTTCGACAAAGAAAAAAAAATTACAGTGTATCTATTAGCTGCTCCTTAGAATCTTTTGGTATTTTATTTTATTTCCAAGCAAGTTCTTCACTTTATATTTTACCTGACTTGGAACAGAGGGAGGTGATCTGCCATCGTTGTACATTGCCCCCGCCCCCGGGGCCTGGGTGGGGTACCCCTGAGGAGGGTACTGGGGAATCTGGTATGGACTCCCGTGGTTCTGATGCCCCACCCTCAGGTGTTGTTGGAGGTTGTGCTGATAATTCTGGCTGGAGTGCCGCTGCTGCATCTCCTGGAACTGTCGTTTAGAAAAATTCTCCATTTCGTCCAATAGCTGCTGGTTGCGTAGCTGGAGCTGTTTGAAATCATTTTCCAGTTGAGTTTTTTCTGCATGAAGGCGTTCCCTTGCGTCTCTCTCAGCATCAAAATCTGACTTCCAAACCTCAGCCTAAAATAGAAATTCATCAGGTTAAGTCAAATATTTAGAAGGTCTCTTATTAAGAAGGTTTTACACCTATATTAATACTTAACTGAGCTTTAACCTTTAACGAAAGCTACATTTAGATGTAGCTACATGTACATTGTAAACCGTTTCAGTACATCATGCTTGGGTATCAGTTTTGAGCTCTGGTGCGGGTAATAGAAAACATTGTTGAGTTATACATCTGAGCCGGTCTATCAATATATATCTTTTTGGAGAGCTACAGTTCTGCAGCTATGATTACAGGGGCTATTTTACAGAATAACACACCTAAAAATAAGTACAGGACCTGAGCTTAAGTACTGGGACAAATGACTTACATGTAGTTACGATCTTTGAACACAGGCACCACATTGTTGAGTTACCTGAGCCATGAGTACTGGGACCACATTGTTGTGTTTATACCTGCACCTGAGCCTTGAGTACAGGGACCACATTGTTGAGTTACCTCAACCCTGAGTACAGGGACCACATTGTTGAGTTACCTGAGCCTTGAGTACAGGGATTACATTGTTGAGTTACCTGAGCCTTGAGGACAGGAACCACATTGTTGAGTTACCTGAGCCTTGAGTACAGGGACCACATTGTTGAGTTACCTGAGCCTTGAGTACAGGGACTACATTGTTGAGTTACACACCTGAGCCTTGAGGACAGGGACTACATTGTTGAGTTACCTGAGCCTTGACGACAGGGACTACATTGTTAAATTACACACCTGAGCCTTGAGGACAGGGACTACATTGTTGAGTTACCTGAGCTTTGAGTACGGGGACCACATTGTTGAGTTACCTGAGCCTTGAGGACAGGGACTACATTGTTGAGTTACACACCTGAGCTTTGAGTACGGGGACCACATTGTTGAGTTACCTGAGCCTTGAGGACGGGGACTACATTGTTGAGTTACCTGAGCCTTGAGTACAGGGACCACATTGTTGAGTTACCTGAGCCTTGAGGACAGGGACCACATTGTTGAGTTACACACCTGAGCCTTGAGGACAGGGACTACATTGTTGTGTTACCTGAGCTTTGAGTACAGGAACCACTTGTTGAGTTACCTGAGCCTTGAGTACAGGGACCACATTATTGAGCTCCTCCGTGATCTTTTTATTCTCCTCCTGTACTTTGTTGAGTTTCTCCTCCCTGTAATTAATGGCCTCCTCCCCGGCGTACACTTGGGCCGTAAGACGACCGATCTGGTCCAGTAACTTCTGCTTTTCTGTCTCTGTACATCCACCCTGGCAAAAAAATTAAAATGGCTACACATAGATTGTAGGCAGAATTTTTAGCAAGGATTCAATGTTGATATTGTCATCAAGAGTGTGGAGATTGATAATATTTAATACTGCTATCAATTCATTGTGATCTGAGATGATAACTATCTTTCATGGCATTATTAAATAGCTAAAATTACTTCTCCATAAAAATAGGTACCAATTGTTATGCATAAGTTGTTGAAATTGCACCTTGCTTTACATTCCCCTTATATGGTTCATGTGAGTAGTATGTAATAATTTTATCTAATATTATGGAGTCAATGCATTTAGGAAAATAAGTTTCTCTCACAATTTAGGTAAATGTAGATAATCATTATAAGTTTTATGTCAATTAAAAGTTATCTGTACCTGTGGTCGTATCTGTTCCTGCAGTTTGATTCTGTCGTATTTCTCTGACAAATTCTTGTGATCTGACACTACCTGATTAAATGACTGTCTCAGATCAGCTGATGTTTTCCTAAAATGTCCAAAATAACATCATAGCTACATCTATGTTCAAACAATGAAAAAGAGCTTCAAATTACATATGTACATGTACATGTTACATTGCAGTTATTCATAAACTCAACTAGTCCTGACCAATGAGATTTTTTTTTTACAATATCACACTTCATATTTTTAAAATTAAGAGTGCAACATCTTTTTCTTTCACATCACACTTGTTTATATTTTTCCAATCACAATCAATTTTTCTTATTTACACTGATATCAAATTTTGTTTTTTATTTAAAGCTGATATTAAATTAAGTCTTTTAATTACTTTTTATATATCACACTTCAATTGCAATTGTTTTTTTTAAGATATCCTACTTGCAAATGTTTTTTTTTTTTTTTACACAGTTATTTTTGGTATGGTTTTATATATACATGTACTATATAAATCATACTTGGTATTTCGGTGTTATATAAATCGTACATGGTATTTATATAAATCGTACTTGGTATTCTGGTGCTCTTTTCTCTTTATTTTTTATTTACGCTTTTATAAATTTAATATAAATTGTACTTGGTGTTTAATATATATATCATACTTGGTATTTTGGTGCTCCTTTCTCTCGGCCGTCAGTGCGTCCTCGTAACTCTTCAGTGACAGTCTCAGTGTCTCCACCAGGGCGGCGTCCTCAGTGTGCTGCCGACGGAACTCTTCCTGTACGTGCTCCACTTCCTGTAATCTGTTACAAAAAAGAAAATGGGGTTACTACAGATTTTTGCTGCTACTAAAAAGACTTGAAATTAAAAATACAGTAACGGTAAATTTTCACAGCTTGAAAAAATATCACTTACTTTGATTATCAAATATGATGTACATTTGTAATGCTTTATAGTTATACAAGATCTTTGTATGGTATTACCATTTATAATGACTTAAAAGAGTTTGCAGACAAAATACAACATTCAAGTATTTAGTAAGTTAAATTGTGATGCTTAAAATAACTTGGGAAAATTTTGTTTGAATAGATTATTTAACAGTTCAAAATTATATATAGAAAAAAATTAACTACATGCATGCCTATTTTTGCATTAAAATTTTTACAGTGTTTTATGTATGTAGCAATCTTCTTTAAAAAAAAAATATCTTATGTAACTGAGTAATTCTTATGCTTGGGGTTTATTTCTGGAATATTTTACAACTTCCTTATTCCCCTTCCTTGTAAGATGGAAGCTTCATTTAAAACAATGGGACTTTACAGATTGCTTCCTGTTTGTTTTATTCAAGTGTGACAAAGTCCATAGGTTTTAAAATGATTTTTCTTCCCTTATTTTCAATGCAAATTTGTTTTAATATTGATTGTGTATACATAGTTTATACAATAATGTACTAGACAGCAGTAAATGTCATATCTGAATTCACTGCCAGCCAGGAATTTTATTTTATCATTTACAATTTTGAAAGATTTTTCTTTTATTTCTATTGCTAAAATACATGTACAAAATGATGATTCAAAATGTTACATATTAAATAAAAATTAAAGGAATTTAAGGTCTAACTTAATTGTTTTTTTTTTCAATTTAAGAAGTCATCTAAGGTCTACTTACAATTGTAGTTGCTACTCTTTTGTTTAAGAAGTTCTGTTTTAAAGTCATGCAAGGTCTCTCAATTGCTACTCTTTTGTTTAAGAAGTCATGAAAGGTCTACTTACTTGCTACTCTTCTTCTCCAGGGCCTCATTAGCATCCTCCAATCTTTTTTGGGAGTCATTGACCTGGGTAATCAGGGTCAGGACTTGGCTGCGCAGGCTCTGTACATCACTTGTATAAGCCTTTGTCTGGAATTGATCAACAAAAAAATCATAAGAATTCTTAATCAAACTCATATCAGAAAGCATATATCAGTGCATGTACATGAACACAGTTAAAAAGAATTATTTTTAACTTCAATTCTACAATTTTTGTATGAATTGTCTCAGAATTTTACTTTTACATACTGATAATACTACAGCAGCTGCTATAATTACCGGTATTTTGATCTGACATATGTATATGGGTGTAATACAATTCCACAAAACTAATTTTTCCTACCATAAAAGCTAAATACAGTAAAACTTATTGTAGACAATTAGAACCTGTTCATCTTTGGTCTGCTGTAGCTCATGTTGCAGCACATCCAGTTGCTGCAGCAACTCCTGCTTCTGTTGCTGGTGTTGCTTGGTGAGACTTGATATGTGTTGCTGCTGTTGCTCCTTGTACCAGGCAATCTCTTCTTCTTTCTGTTTCAGTCTCTGTTTGAGTTCTCCCAACTGCAGGCATGGTAAGAATAACAATTATGCCACCTCATGGTATATGAAAACCAAAATTCCTTATATCATACTAAATACTGCAGAAAAATTTCTTATAACATACTAAAGATAGCACAAAAAAGAACAATGTGTGGTAATCCCTAATGTCTGAATTTCGTCCATTTGATGAAAAAAATGAAAACAGAGCTATAATCGCAATCCTTTGCTGTAAACAACGTATTAAAATGATGCATGTTTTAAACTTTAACATATACTTTACCTACATGTATAAAGAAGCAAAAAAGAACATTATGAAGTAACTCAATTTAACTTCTGTTTATTACATAAGTATAAATGTATTCAACTGATTTTAATATTTCTCAAATCATGTACTATATAAATGCAAAGAAGACCGTAAAATTTAAAACTTATTCAGTGTAAAGCTATACCTCTGTGTGAGCCTCTTCTGCCCCCTGTGTTTTCCTGTCCTCCTCTTTACTGACCGCTAGGTCCTGATAACGTGACGCCTCGTTCTCCAGCTCCTCAATGCGGCCCCTCAATACCCTCACCTCTGATTTCATGCCCTTGTTCTCGTTCAACAAGCCTTCAATTCTCTGTCCAAGCTCCGTATTCTCTCGCTCCAGTTTTGCATTTTCTACCTGAAGTTCTTGTTTCACATTTTTGTAGGAGTCTAAGTCCCTTATTAAACTCTCATTATTTTCTCTGAATTGTCCGAGCTGATTTTCTAGTTGTTTTATTCTAGTTTCTAAGCTTTCTTTTTCCTTTTCTAGTGCTTCTGTTTCGCTTCTGTCTTGATTCACAAGTACCTATATCATGTATATGAAACGAAGAGAAATTTTTCAGAAAGATTTCAATATTTGATCAAATTGATTGACATTCATTTTTACGCTGACAGATAATTAAGAATAAGACATAACTCCTGTAATTTGTACATTTTCAACTTATCAAATAAATTTCTAAACAGATCTCCTATCCATTTTCATATAGAAAATGTAAGAGTCAATCAAAGTTTTATTGTTAATAAAGAAGAAATCCTTTGTACTTTTACAGAATTCTTTGATTGCTATTGTTTGTTTTAAATAAAATTCAAGTTCAAGTGCACTGTGACAAATGTTCACAGAAAATTAATTATTCTGAATGCAGCATAAATTAATCCCACTTGGAAACAATTATTTACAGAATCAACACAGTATGAGAACAATGTTTCTACTGTTTCAACACTAACAGTCCAACTTAGTTAGACTTTGAGTGACATTTACCATATCAATACAGACCCTTAGTCAGAGGTTGAGTGACATTTACTGTATACACATGGTCATTGGTCTGAGTTAGTTTGAGTTTGATTGACATTTACCGTACCTACACAGTCTGAGTTAGTTTGAGTTTGATTGATATTTACCGTATCTACACAGTCTGAGTTAGTTTGAGTTTGATTGATATTTACCGTATCTACACAGTCTGAGTTAGTTTGAGTTTGATTGACATTTACCGTACCTACACAGTCTGAGTTAGTTTGAGTTTGATTGATATTTACCGTACCTACACAGTCTGAGTTAGTTTGAGTTTGATTGACATTTACCGTACCTACACAGTCTGAGTTAGTTTGAGTTTGATTGACATTTACCGTACCTACACAGTCTGAGTTAGTTTGAGTTTGATTGACATTTACCGTACCTACACAGTCTGAGTTAGTTTGAGTTTGATTGATATTTACCGTATCTACACAGTCTGAGGACCTGTCCAGTGATTTACTCTCTAACTTTTTCTTCAGCTCCTCCACTGTCCTCACCAGCCCTGTAACAGCTTCCTCCTTGTTTCTGAGCTCACTCCTGACCTCCTCTGCTGACCTTTCCAGCTGTGTCATATGGACCGCCTATCAGTAAATGGACCAACGTTCAAGATTAATGAAATGTTTTTGTCTGCTGTGTTTATTTATTGAACTGAAAGCCTTGATGTCAACAGATTTTGATTTGGTAGAACTATAGTATAAGTTCTTGCAATGAATAATTTTAATGAAAGCTTAACACTAGAGTTTCATGAATTTTATCAGTGGCATTACAAAGCAATTAAATAAAATCTGGGTACATGAACAAACTTTTGATAGATGGTCAAAGTTAACAAAATTATTTTCCAATTACATTTACATGTACCAATATCTATTTTTTAATAAGGTACATGTATCATGAAATTCTCTACCTTTTTGCAGACTTCACGTTTGAGATCCTCATTCTCTTTAGTCAGGGTCTGGACTACCTCCTTAGTTTGGTCAAACTTTTCTTTGTTTTTCATGTTGTTGCTGCGGATCTTTTCCTTCCACTCGGCCAGATTCTGATATTGAATCTTCATCTTCTCATTGTTGTCCCTCAGGTAATCTATGGAGTATACATGTAACAGCCATAAAGTCAGAGTAAAACAAAATTCACTATCTTACTTGACAGAGATGCATTACATGTAAATGGATAATTGAGGTAAATGTACACGTACATGTAAAATGCAACCATGTTTACTTCTTTGTCTAATCAAAGAGTAGATGAATATGAGTAAGATAACTTTTTTAATATATTCTTTTTAAAGATTTTTTTTTTCCATTGACCTCTACAGTAAAGCATAACCAGTATTAATTTGATTAATTTGCATACTTTAATAAATCTATTATAAAGAAATAAAAGTTATAAAATTAAGTTTAGTTTTTAGGTGTAATAAAAATTAGATATGGCAAGAAATTGGTACTGCGTTTTTAGGTGATACTTTTGTACCCTAGGGTACACCCTTATTAAATGTATGGAGAAAAGGTTACAAAAAGGGTACACTATTTATTCATACTGAAAACGAAAGTAGATGCTTCCCAGTGGTAGGAAGACTAAGTAAAATTAAAAATAATGGAGCCGATGCTCAGGGTACAGTGGGTACACAGGGTACACATGGGTACAGCAGGTTACAACACTATAAGAAATGGATACAAGGGTTTAGAAGGCTGACATTTTCTAAGTTAAAATTAAAAATAATGGAGCTGATGCTCAGGGTACAGTGGGTACAAAGGGTACACATGGGTACAGCAGGTTACAACACTATAAGAAATGGCTACAAGGGTTTAGACATGTTAGAAGGCTGAAATTTTCTAAGTTAAAATTAAAAATAATGGAGCCGATGCTCAGGGTACAGTGGGTACAAAGGGTACACATGGGTACAGCAGGTTACAACACTATAAGAAATGGATACAAGGGTTTAGAACTGCCTGAAATGTTCTAAGTTAAAATTAAAAATAATGGAACCGATGCTCAGGGTACAGTGGGTACAAAGGGTACACATGGGTACAGCAGGTTACAACACTATAAGAAATGGATACAAGGATTTAGACATGTTAGAAATCTGAAATTTTCTAAGTTAGAATTTAAAATAATTGAGCTGATGCTCAGGGTACAGTGGGTACAAAGGGTACACATGGGTACAGCAGGTTACAACACTATAAGAAATGGATACAAGGGTTTAGACATGTTAGAAAGCTGAAATTTTCTAAGTTAAAATTTAAAATAATGTAGCCGATGCTCAGGGTACAGTGGGTACAAAGGGTACACATGGGTACAGCAGGTTACAACACTATAAGAAATGGATACAAGGGTTTAGACATGTTAGAAGGCTGAAATTTTCTAAGTTAAAATTAAAAATAATGGTACTGATGCTCAGGGTACAGTGGGTACAAAGGGTACACATGGGTACAGCAGGTTACAACACTATAAGAAATGGATACAAGGGTTTAGAACTGGCTGAAATGTTCTAAGTTAAAATTAAAAATAATGGAACCGATGCTCAGGGTACAGTGGGTACAAAGGGTACACATGGGTACAGCAGGTTACAACACTATAAGAAATGGATACAAGGATTTAGACATGTTAGAAAGCTGAAATTTTCTAAGTTAAAATTTAAAATAATGTAGCCGATGCTCAGGGTACAGTGGGTACAAAGGGTACACATGGGTACAGCAGGTTACAACACTATAAGAAATGGATGCAAGGGTTTAGAAGGCTGAAATTTTCTAAGTTAAAATTAAAAATAATGGAACCGATGCAGGGGGTACAGTGGGTACAAAGGGTACACATGGGTACAGCAGGTTACAACACTATAAGAAATGGAGACAAGGGTTTAGAACTGGCTGAAATGTTCTAAGTTAAAATTAAAAATAATGGAGCCGATGCTCAGGGTACAGTGGGTACAAAGGGTACACATGGGTACAGCAGGTTACAACACTATAAGAAATGGAGACAAGGGTTTAGAACTGGCTGAAATGTTCTAAGTTAAAATTAAAAATAATGGAGCCGATGCTCAGGGTACAGTGGGTACAAAGGGTACAGCAGGTTACAACACTATAAGAAATGGATACAAGGGTTTAGAACTGGCTGAAATGTTCTAAGTTAAAATTAAAAATAATGGAACCGATGCTCAGGGTACAGTGGGTACAAAGGGTACAGTGGGTACAGCAGGTTACAACACTATAAGAAATGGATACAAGGATTTAGACATGTTAGAAAGCTGAAATTTTCTAAGTTAAAATTTAAAATAATGTAGCTGATGCTCAGGGTACAGTGGGTACAAAGGGTACACATGGGTACAGCAGGTTACAACACTATAAGAAATGGATACAAGGGTTTAGAAGGCTGAAATTTAATCTAATGTAATATACATTTGAACATTGACCGGTTACCCTAAAACATCATTTTAAGATAAGCAATTCAACGCTGGGCTTTTGTAAGTCCGACCGGCAACCACCCTCTTTTTATCAAAAAACGCATCGGTTGCCCATAGTATACCCCATCGCTGGATAATGTGACTCATACTTTAAGGTCTGCTAGGCCGATGTGGACCCATATCTTGGGGCATCGCTCACACTACAGATTACCTCCAATTACCACTAGTCTATGGCCACCGGCAGGGAAATGTGAATATAATTTTGGAAACCCGTGTCAAAAAAAGCCGTGCTGTATACCATATAAGGCGTCACGGGATCTGTGCATTTGTTTAGATCTAGGTCATATGGGCCTTTAGAAAATCCCCAGATGTAACTGTGGATGCCAAAATGGTGACTGAAACCAAACTAACCTCACATTGCTTTACATTAAAGCTTAGTTTTAGAATTTTAAAGTAAAAAATCTTACATGAATGTGTCCATTTACTTTCTGTTTAAGATTAACTTTATCAGTTACAATCCATGCTTAGTTTTTAATTAAAATTTTGATGATATTGTACAATATTCAATTGTAATTTTATCTAGTAGCTAAGTTTGCACAATCTGAGAAAGAATAAATATTAAATTTACTGCTGCATTCTCACGAAGTGTTGGTAATCTGTTTTATATCTTTTAATCTGAGAAAGAATTTAGTTAAAATAAAACACAGTGATGTCACAAAATATAAACTATAAAGGATTAGTGAAAGTCATTCAAATGAACCTATAAACTCTTTCATCATGTTCATTGTCAACATTGCAATATAGGAAGATCATGAAAATTGAAATATTGACTTATTTATTCTAGATTACACTTACTGCATTTAGTTTAAAAGTGATGAAATTATCCCAGATCAACTGACATAAATACAATTAGCCCCTTGGGGATCCGGGTTAGAATAGGTCCTCAGTACCCCCTTGCATGTCGTAAAGGCGACTAAATGGGGCGGTCCTTCGGATGAGACCGTATAAACTGAGGCCCCATGTCACAGCAGGTGTGGCACGATAAAGATCCCTCCCTGCTCAAAGGCAGTAAGTGCCGAGCATAGGCCTAAATTTGCAGCCCTTCACCGGCAATGGTGACGTCTCCATATCAGTGAAATATTCTGGAGAGAGACGTTAAACAGTATACAATCAAACAATCATAAATACAATTCCAACTGACATCTGTTAGTTTAATATCCTTAAACTAGCCTAAGAGTAAAAAAGACACATTCTTAGCTCATGACCATGAATCCCTCCAATTTCATATTCAAATAAAGGAAGTTGTGATTGAGCATGCTCAGTAAAAAGCCGTGAGATATATTTAAGGAATCACTGTCTAGTTTGGAGAGTAGGGCATCAACAATAGTGGGAAACATTGGATAATTTGCATAACGGGCGAACCACTATTGTTGATGTCCCTGGCATACTCTTCTAACCAGAGAGTGATTCCTTATATTTCCAATTCATTGTGAAATAAAATTGTAGACCAGCCAAGACATTAAAAATGTAGACATAGATTTAAAATAATACATGAGGACTCTCATGCCTATTTCAATAGTCCAAGCACACTGACACCAAACACAAACTTTAAGGCAGCCGCATGAGATTTACATGCATATTTTGTAGGGATGGCAATCGAATGCAGAATCGCTAATCGGTTAACCGCAAGACGTTCTGACTGATTAACCGGTTAATCGTATCAAAATACACACATTTTAGGTAATTTTTTTCAAAGTACACGTAGCTATATTTCATATGCACACAGAAAGAGCAGGGAAAATTTTATAATAATCAATGATTCAGAACTGTATCTCTTAATTTATATTGTCTAATAATTTGATTGGATAAAGAACTTAATACGACAATTTCCATTTCACAGTACACGTGTTCTCATTTATGTAATTATAATCATTAAAGAAAAACAGGACGGACTGGGTAAGGGCATGATGTTTGCACAATAATTAACGCTACGTAAACTGACCAATTACCCTCAAGGCCTCATTAATTGAATAAAATCAGGAAAGCCATTATTATCTCTGAATCAGTTTTAATAGTTTTGTTAAACGCTAAATTTCCAATCCGATGTGCCGTAATTTCTTTCTTTTTTTTTTTTAATGAATTTTAATAAAATCAAATTCAGTTTTATTTTTTTCCGACTAACCGATTACAAACTAACCGATTGCCATCGTTCCGACCGAATAATCGGTTACCGGTTACAAATTGCAATCCCTAATATTTTGCCTCCTAAGAGTCAGACACAGAGACAGATGCGCAGGAGATTTGCATGCGTATTAGGCCTCCTTAGCTGCTGACTTATCGACCTGCCTAATTTACATTCCGGCAGAATTATCAAGAAATAAACTCATCACATTTTCAAACAGTTATAACAGAGAAAAAAATTAGAAATGGAAATAAAATAAATAGTTTCAAGCAAAATCCGCCTGAGTTAAAAAACCGTCTCCCTGAGACGGATTCTGTGCCTCCACACGGGTTTAATAATTAATAAATCATATTCTCAAGAACCAATGGGTCAGAAAAGCTGAAACTTAGGTGGAAGCATCCTGGGGTAGTGTAGCTAGATTCTAAATTGTTCAAATCTAGACCCCTTAGGGAAGGGCGGGTCGGGTCACGATAGATAGATGGGGCCATAGTGAGTAATTGTATAACA